GTGCAATTTTTGGGTCACGTTATCTCTGCTGATGGAGTGGCGGTTGATCCTAGCAAGATAGAGGCAGTTGTTGATTGGGAAAGACCCAAGATAGTAACAGAAATAAGAAGTTTTCTGGGTTTGGCTGGTTATTATCGGAGATTCATTAAAGAATTTTCAGCCATGGTGTTGCCATTGACCCGTTTGACCCGGAAGGATACTCCATTTGTTTGGACGCAGGAATGTGAGGAATGCTTCCAGAGCCTTAAGGAGAAATTGACGACTGCTCCAGTGTTAGTACTTCCCGATTCGGAAGGTGAGTTTGAGTTATACAGTGATGCTTCTAAAAAGGGACTGGGTTGTGTGCTGATGCAAGATAGGCGAGTGGTAGCTTATGCGTCGAGGCAATTGAAACCGCATGAAGAGAATTATCCGACCCATGACCTTGAGCTTGCTGCAATTGTTTTTGGATTGAAACAGTGGAGGCATTTCTTGTATGGAATGCAATTTGCAGTATTCAGCGATCACAAGAGCTTGAAGTACTTGTTTGATCAAAAGGAATTGAATATGAGACAACGACGGTGGACCGAGTTCCTAAAAGACTATGATTTTGAATTGAAATATCATCCTGGCAAGGCGAATGTTGTAGCTGATGCACTGAGCCGTAAATCTGTGAGCATATCAAGCATGATGATTAGAGATTATGATGTGATTGAGAGGTTCAGAGATATTCAATTATCTAAAATCTTTTCATGTAAAATTTGTGGCTTTGAAATCACAAGCATTGAGAATGAACTGATGACCAGAATTAGAGAAGCTCAACTGCAAAATGAAAGTGCTAAACGACTGAAAGGTCAGGGTGGTGTATCCTGCAATGATGAGGGTATACTATTATATCAGGGTCGTGTTGTTGTACCTAGGCAGTTGGCGGAAGAAGTAATGACAGAGGCTCATAAGGGTCATTTCACAGTTCATCCGGGAGCTACAAAGATGTATCAGGACCTAAAGATTAATTTCTGGTGGCCTGGTATGAAGAAAGATATTGCCGAATTTGTCTCTAAGTGTCTCATTTGTCAGAAGGTAAAGATTGAGCATCAAAAGCCTTCTGGTATGTTGCAACCTCTGGATGTTCCTGAATAGAAATGGGAGAGTATTTCCATGGATTTCGTAGTGGGATTGCCGCGAACACATGCTAGTTATGATTCTATATGGGTGATTGTGGATAGATTGACAAAATCCGCACACTTTTTGCCAGTTCCGGTAGATTTCTCTGCTGAGAGATTGGCTAGGCTCTATGTGAAGGAGATTGTGAGGCTTCATGGGGTGCCTGACAGCATTGTTAGTGATCGGGACCCGAAGTTCACTTCTCGCTTCTGGGGAGCATTGCAGGAGGCTCTTGGCACTCAGTTGAGACTGAGCACTGCTTATCACCCACAGACGGATGGTCAGACTGAGAGGACCATTCAGACGTTGGAGGATATGCTGAGGGCTTGCACCCTGGAGCAGGGTACTGCATGGGATCGATATCTCCCGTTGGTTGAGTTTTCATATAATAACAGTTTCCATGCTAGTCTGGGTATGGCTCCCTACGAGGCCTTGTATGGTCGCAGGTGTAGGACACCTACTTGTTGGTCAGAGGTTGGAGACACAGAGCGATTTGGATTGGATTTTGTTCAGGAGACTACTGAGCAGATCAAAATGATTAGGGATCGTCTGAAAAAGGCTCAGGACCGTCAGAAAAGTTACTATGATCTCAAGCATCGACCTTTAGAGTTTGAGGAGGGAGATCATGTGTTCCTGAAGCTGTCACCAGTTACGGGTGTGGGACGAGCCCTTGGAGTGAGGAAGCTGAGTCCGAGATTTATTGGACCCTATCAGATTCTTCGTAGGGTGGGACCAGTTGCATACCAGCTTGCCTTACCTCCGCAATTAGCAAATTTGCATGATGTGTTCCATGTTTCTCAGCTGAGGAGATATGTAGCTGATCCTTCTCATGTGGTTCAACCTGATAATGTTGAAATCCGGGAGAATTTGAAGACTCTTATTGGGCCACAGAAGATACTTGAAAGAGATGAGAAGAAGCTGAGAAATAAATCTATTCCTATGGTGAAAGTCCAGTGGGAAGGAAGGACGCCTGAAGAGTCCACTTGGGAGCGGGAAGATGAGCTTTTCCAGCAATATCCTGAGTTTAAGGACACGTACGTTCTTGATTTTGCGGACAAAATCGCTAAAAGGTGGGGTGACTATAATAGCCCATCTTAATTAATTAGTAAATCAAGTGTAATTAATTAATTAAGCATGTTTTACTGAGTGAAATTAAGTATAATGCTTAATTAAATGAATCTGAGTCACTTTGGAGTTAAAAAGTGTACTCAGTGAGAATTAAGGGGTATAAATGGGTACTGGCAAAAGTACCCAAAATATAAAAATAAAAATAGTAATATTCCTAGAATAATACTCCAGACTTTTAGGTAAAGTTTGGTAATTATTGGAGTTGAATAGATAGACGAACCAATACCCGCTTAAAGCCACTTAACCAATGTTAAGTGACTAAAAGCCAAAAGTGAACCCATTTCCCACCCATCCCTCGTCGACGCCAGAACAGAAAGAAGAAGAAGAAGAAGGAGAAAGGAGGGAGAAGGAAGGGAGGAAGAGAGAGAGAGAGATCAAACCTTGACCGTTTTGGGTGATTCAAAAGCCTAAATCGCTTAGAATCTCGCCCTCTTTCATAATCCTTGCTTAGTTTTAAGTGGGGAGCTTTGTGTGGTGAGATATTGGCTCTCAAAAATTCGGCCCTTTGGTGAAAATTGGGGTTTTGAGAGTTTCTACCTCCATTGAAGCTTGAGGAGCCATCAATCCTTGGTTGTGTGACCATTGGTGGTAAGATTCTAACCCTTTAACCTCATGATTCCTTGAAATTTGCATGAGTTAGGGTTTATGAATAGTGTTTTAGGGTTTTGATGAAATGTGGTTAAATTAGCGATGTTCTAGGAAGAATGGAGCTTAGAGCATGTTATGGAAAATGCTAGGAATGTCATTTAATCGGTGAAAATGAGCTTAGATAGCTAAATGAGTATACTTGTAAAATGGCAAGAATATGATGCTTGATATTGGATTTCTTGCATTGTTGATAAATGGTATGGCTTGGTTGATTGATGATTGTGTCCTAATGATGTCTAGGATTGAGACATTTGGACCGACCGTGAATGATCAATCGCTTGAACAAGCTATGGAGCTTGAGTAGCTCATTGGAATTGGTAAGCTCATACTTGTGTTGTGTTTTGAATTGAGTAGTTGATGGTTGATTGTGAAATACTCTTGAATGCAATATGTTAATTGCATTACCCTTGTATAGGTGTATATTTGTAAAAGTGGATTGCTGAAACTGTTGGTGAAGAACAAAGGTCGACTGAAGCATTGAGGTAAGCCTTTCGGACCTTGGGTGTAATTCCCTTGATTGTTCTACCAAGCCCTGAAAGGGTAGAGGTTGTGATTGTGTATATAAATGCAATAAAATAGTGTAATGCTTTGTTATACGTATGTGTATGCATTTGGTGTGGCATAGGATGGTGTTTCCCTATGTTGGTATGTTGCATGACGATGCGTAAATCATACTTGGTAGTTAGCTGGCCAGTAGGACTATTTGCATCTGAGTTTCCTTAGGACAGCTTGAGAGCTCGAGGGATTTCTCCTGGAGATGTATTGCATTTTGCATAGATATGTATTTACTGCATTATTATTGTTATTGCTATTACACTGATATGGGACTGTGGGGTGGAGAGATGCTCCAAGGACCCCTGGTTTACTGGATATATTCGTATATCTCACCCCGTGTTGTGGGGACCCCTTTTCAGGTAAGGATGCTGCAGGAGCCTCTGGTGGCAAGTGGCCATATCTGGATTATGCATGAAATGTGGCATTTCTTTTGAGATTGTACATGTTGTTTTGTAGCTCACATGTATAGGATTGTAATTCATAGACCATTGATAGATGTATGAATTGTATACTGGAATGGACTTAGCCTATGCTCATGCCTTTGGTCATCTCTTTTGTCGATGAGAGCCAAGGGAATGATCATAGTGTTTTGTAAGCTAAGTTCCATAAATTGTAATGAACATGATGTGTAATTGATGAGTACTTTGAGTTTAATATAGGTATGTTCATTAAGTATTGGATTGTTGAACTGGAAACTAAATTAGGTACCTAGTGCTAAATTGGGAAATGTTGAGAAAACAAATACATCCTGTCCGTTTGACCAATTTTCATACCCAATGTGATGGAATTGGACTTTGATGTCTCTATGAAAGTGGTAGACATTCCTCTTAGCTTTCCATAGAGACCAAAATGGTGTAATTTGAGTGAGTATAGCTCAAATTATGAGTGGAAAACCATAGGTAGGTTAAATGACCTTGTTTTGGGTCACCCAGCCCTGTGGATGGCGCCTGGGGCGCCAAATTCACGCTTGGGGCGCCAAATTACGAGATCAGACAGTAGCATCCATGCTTGGGGCGCCAGATTCACGCTTGGGCCAACTTTCTGTTTTCCCACGCTCTGAGCGTGGATCTCACGCTGCGGGCGAGGGGTTCTGGAGGTTTCGCACCTTTTTCTTAAAAAGTGCATAACTTTGGCTACGGTGCTCCGATTTGAGCGCGGTTTGAACCCACGCGTAGCTAATGAAAAATACTATAACATAGTAGAAGATGGGAATCATAAAAGGAGTTTAGAATTAATTTGATAATTAAAGTGATGAAGACATTTCACGACGTATTGTCAAGTATAATGGGAATATAATCTTAAGTTTTGTCCCACTATTTCGCGAAGTATATATAGTTATGATCACGCACTTGGTTATTTGAATCCGGCTTGTATAAAAAGGAAAAATTTATCCGGTTTTCTAATTGAACCAATGTGATTGTAACTGCGCTTAATGCCGTACGCAATGATAACAATCTGATTCTAGAACGGGGTGTTACAGTATTAACTTTAATTGCTACGCTTAGCATATAAATCCCAAACTTTGGATTATGAAACTACATAATTTTCTAAGATTTATCATATTTTTCTTATAATTTTCTGAGCACTTTTCCGGTACGCGCTTTTCCAAGCCAGTACCGGTTTCCAGCACCAGTTCTCATTATCTGGACTTGAAACTCGTTTTACAAGTCCTACATATTATTCTAGTAATTATCATGCACTTTTATTAATTTTCCGGGATACTTTTTCGGCACGCATTTATACCGACTAGCAGAACCGGTATCTGCACTTTTCTTCCGAAAAGCGACTTTCAGCATTCTTAATCACTTATTACGATTATTAAGCCTCATAAATAATTATTAAGGTCAATTATGGAATCATTTCCTATTTTCTCGTAATTTATTAATTAAATAACTTAATTAACGGTGCGGGTTCTTACAAATGGCCTCGTCATAACATGACCCTGCATCTCAAACGCATGAGAGGTGTTCATCCACCACTCATGGGCATCGCCCTCCAGCATGTAAGTAGCAAACATCAGCTTCTGCTGATCTGAACACTGCATGACACGAAAGATCTTATCCAGCGCCTGTAGCCATCTCGCCGCAGCAATAGGATCATAAGACCCATCAAAAGAAGGCGGCTTATGCTTCCTGAAAGCGTTCAGCCGACGGTCGATCACGTCACGGTCTTCAGCAGGCTCCATAAAGGGTTCCATCACCCCAGTGACATGAGTAGCACTACCAATGTGATTCAGGCTCTCATCCTGAACACTAGGTGGGGCGGCAGCGGCGATGGTGGTGGAGGTGGTGGCGGAGGGAACTGACCTACAGCAGGACCAGCCCTCATCTCCTCCAACATAACCCGCATCATGGTCATGTTCGCCAGCCGATTTACCTCAAGAGCATCCTCCGTGGCCTTCTGGTTCGCTTCTCTAGCAGCGTCCATCATTGCCACGTTGGTCAATCTAGTGGCCTCCTGCATCTCAGCCAATGGAGTCAGGATTGGGTCGCGGGTTGATCCTCAACAGTCTCTCGTGTTCTCCTGGATCCTACCATGACTCTGCACAAGTTACACAAATTATGAGTTGATCAGGCCCACGCAATGTGATCACATATGCATCATCATAATAAAACCCAACGGAGCAAACACACAAGACAGACACAACCAAGCATCCTAATCACTTGTAATGCCCAGCCGCTTCAAGAATCAATGACTATCCCCACATACTAATACGAGACTTTTCAGTGAGCTTTTTTCTCACTCGCGCACTTCCTGAGAAAACTTCCCAGAAGGTCACCCATCCCAGAATTGCTCCAAGTCAAGCACGTTTAACTGTGGAGTTCTTCTGTTCCGGGCTACCGAAAAGAAGATGCATCTTCTAAGTATAGGTAGTACCAATTAATTCTTATAAGCTCTCCCAAACTGTGCAGTCTCACACCTGCACAATCTTTGGAATCCCTCTCTTTCGGGTGTCGATTCGATTCATTCATGCATGTAACCCCCCGCTGGAAGCCTGTCAGGAGTCGTTCCTTGTCCGTGCCTCTTTGCACCGGCGATCACTCCCCGCCCTCGTCAGCGCTCGGGATGTTACATACCCACCAGCTTCCGCCTGGTTCTTCCTCGAACCTCACCGTACTGGATGAGAGGCCCTGCTCTGATACCATAAAATGTAACACCCCGTATATATCTGGTTTGTTATCATGTCATCGTATTAAGCCACGCTTAATTTAAAAATGCAGAATATCTTTTTCTTTTCAATTATGACGTCATTATACTTAGCCAAGTTGTTTACTTAATCATTTTCATAAAAACATCGCCTGTATGTAAATTGCAAATAAACAGCTAACTGAAATACCTCATTAAATAAATAAAATAAGTATGTATCTAGTCACGGAACTACAACACGTAGACCGGACAACCTACTAAGTTATACAACTCAACTCAAAGAACTATCATAAGTGGCATGGACAAACCCCATGCTCACCCAAATAAGGCATCAAGCCCAACATAAGTCTCCACATCAACAGCATAATAATAATAAGGCAAAAAACATAAACAGCATCCAATCCAGACATGTCAGCATAAATATAACAACAATATCATCAGCTAAGCTCTTGCCTCCTGCCGCTAGAGGCATCAGTCCCAAGCTACCTGATCCTGAAATAAGCGCCCCAAACGTGGGGTGAGATCTCTAAACAAGAAATCTCAGTAAGACAAGGGGTCCTCAAGGATCTTCCACCCCAAGCTCACTTACATGTGCAATATAAGTTCTAAAAGTAGTAATTCAATATCAGTTCCAAAATCAGTGCAATGCAACAGATATTCATGTCATGTGTGTTATAACAATTCTACTGATCAGAGAAGTGCAGGAATACGTCTATTACCCACACAGTATAAGCCCATGCTGTATCCGCCCACAAGAATACCCTATGGCTTCCTGTTTAGACGGAACACCACATACATATCATATAGCATTTGCACTTAACAGTTCAAAAGCATTTCAGCAAAACAATACATAAAAACACATCATGCGTATAACCATCCCCCTATGGAGTATGGTGGAACAGACAATGGCTCAACCGAGGACACGAAAGCTTACCTTGCAAGCTAACAACCCAAGCCAAGAGTCTAACCAATGCTCAAAGTTCAAACACAGCAGAATCACAATCTGATTAGGACCAGCAAACATATCAATACACATAGCTCATAAGCATAAACATAAAGACAACGCTTCTCTTTTACGTTTTACGTCTTTAGGCTCCTCACAAAGCCTCAAGCCCTTAATCACTTGATTCTGACTTAGTTCAATTATTACAGAAGTCCAAACTAGCTAATCATGGGTCCACAAACCCAAAATAGCAATCTGTATAAATAGTGCCTTCACTGTTCTTCGAAACCCAGAATATCCGGATATTCCTCGGGGACATATCCGGATATCAATATCCGGATATCTCTGGGGACATATCCGGATATTTCCACACCCCATATCCGGATATCCATATCCGGATATTATTTCCAGAGAAATATCCAGATATTTCGTGACAGAATGTGGTTTTGCATTTTCGCGAAGATATCCCTTCAAGGTTCCATTTTTAACACTTACAGAAGCTTAAACATCAATCTTTAGGTCCATTTAGGTTCATAAAACAGTGGGTTATTTGTTTAATTCATTAAACATGCCAAGACACCATCTTTAAGCATTAGAACTCATGATCATAGGTTGGTATCACTTACCAAGACTCAACACAGAGAAAAGGTTGCTCTTGGAGCTCACCAAACAACTCTCCCAGTTCTGACTTGGTGCAAACACGAAAATGGCACTACAAGGTTGGTCCCTTCTTCACAAAGGAAGCTCCATGGAGCTCCACAAGCCAAGAAAATGAACCCTCTCACCCAAACTCCAAAAACAGCTCTCAAAAATCCACCAAACAGTGGCTGAGTGTCCAGAAAATGCAGCCTCACACTCTCACAACCCACCCTACCAAGTGTTTGCAAGATCAAGAGGAAGAATCAAGAAGAAAATGGCCCCAAAGCTCAAGAAATGGTGAAGGAAATGCAATGGAACAGTGACAACCACTCAGCCTCCAAGTGTGTCACGTAGGAAGTCTGATGTGCCAAGGGTTTTGGGCCAAGCAAGGGTATTTATAGCGGTTTACAACTTAAACACACAGTATTAGCGCTAATGGCTACACTTAGCATTTTAATCCCAAACTCAGGATTCTTAACCTACTCATTTTTACAAGATTTATCATATTTTTATTTTATTTTTTGCAGCACTTTTTCGGTACGCGCTTTTCATAGCCAGTATCAGTTTCTGGCAACAGTTCTCATTATTTTAACTTGAAACTTGTTTTACTAGTCCTATTTAATATTCTAAGAATTATCATGCACTTATAATTTTCCGGGATACTTTTTCGGTACGCATTTATACCGAGTAGCAGAACCGGTATCTGCGCTTTTCGTCCGAAAAACGACTTTTGCATTATTACT